AGTTCATTGCCTCTATTTCATTATTAGTTCCAAGGCAGGTCTACGATTTCCAAGTACTCCACAATGTCGGAGCTTCAACTTCAAGTCCCAAGTCTAATATTACCCGATTTTTCCTGTGACATTGAGTACACATCTAAGGCAAACATAGTCGAGAGCAAATACACAAATACAGTAAACACGAGTTTTTACCAGGCTCCTATCTGGTAGTGGCTTCTGAAATTTTATAACAGAGTTATAATTCATGAAGATATTCTCGGTCGGTCAAAATATCGTAACAAAATTACTACGTAATTATCACATCCATGTCATTGTCATTTATTGTTACGATTATTTAATTTTATGATCCTGTGTTTGTTTTATGAAGCGACTCACCGAGACAGAAGTGACGTGGTTATTTTTTTTATTTTTATGATAAGTCTATTAAACACTTGAAGCAGTTTGTATGTGAAAGTAAATATTTAAAGTTTTGTAATTATTAACATCACATACAAAATATTTTATGTTAAATTGTACAGAAGCTTTGATTTATATACTGAGTTACTATCCGGAAAATATAAAAATACACCTAGGTACACATTCAATGAAGTATAACAATGTAGCAATGCATTACATAGTTGAAATAATTAGATTGCCTGCTTAGAAGTAGTTTAAAATCGTAAAATGAAATTATTCTACGAAGAATATTTTTAGTCAGTTTAATGTGTCCCTGTGGTATTATTTCTATGGTATTTCGATCTTAGTGATCAAAGTCATGTATAAAAACATAACTTACAATCGTAAATAAGTTTTACAGCATATCAGGTCCATGTATGTACATGAATTTATTTTGAAATGGTTCTTATTCACAAAAAGGAAAATAAAAACGATCGAATAAAAAAACCGTCGTTTGTAATCTAATCTAGTAAGATCAGTTATTGAAAACCTGTTTCTTGGTTTAGATCTATGGGTGCGATATGTACATCTACATGTCTACTAGAATCTATAGGATTCCTTGGACATTCTTTGAAATTTATTTGGAAGTCGTGTGAGTTTTTTCTCTATTTGATATAAAAATAAAAATAGAAATAAAAATTGTTCTAAAAAGAAAGTTTACTCGTTGAAAGTGATTATGCGTTATTGAAACGTCCTAACAATTAATGTTTCTTGTATTTATATTAATTAATATATAATTTTAAATGATTGGGATGCAATTTGTGCCACCATAAATTTTAACTTTCGAATTTTCGTATCATACCATTATATATACATATTTTTACAATTTATACACAAATATGATTATTAGTGCACATATCCACATTTTTACCATTTGTACGCAAATATGCACGTTAATCAAAATTTATGCACAAATATGCACATTCATACACGTCAATATACAAATACTTACTTATGCTTACTTATTTTTGCTTATTAAATATTCATTATTTATACACAAATATTTGTATTAATACATATTTATTCCCAAACATATACATTTGTTTACAGTCATATACAAACAAATCCATTTATGCACAAATATGTGCATTGATATGCATTTAAACACAAATAGGAAGATCAATTTTTACACAAATATACACATTTATTCTCTTTTATTTTTTTATATTATTTGAACAGCAATCAGAACTTAAGGCTTCCATAAGCACTTGTGATAGATGACACCCCAAACTGTGATGATTATTATTATTTACTTTCTATGATTTTTTGTATTGATGGAGTAATGCCGGAAAGGGCCTATTTTCACTTAAAAACATATTGCTATTAATAATTGTAAGTTGATGTCTCTACTGGTTGACATCAGGGTGGCAAGTGGGTATGGAATCTAGGACCTCTGATTGAAATGTTATAGCTCTAACCTCTAATCCACGGGGTATTCCAGTTGTACATTATCACAAGACATTCATTTTACATATTTTCACATAAATTCGTATTCATTCGCAAATATTTCAATTCAGAAGTAACTCTACGTTTAGGCATTTTGTAAGTTGTGCCCATATGTTTGTGAGCGATATGTCCATATGGACGGATACAAAGGCGCAATTTTTGAATCGTATTCATATCCTAAACCATTAGGCCATATTAATTCCAAAATCTCTTTATCTCAATCGTTTGTACTGACAATAAGCGAAATTGCGACAAGGCGCCATATCCCTTCAAATAAAATGAAACCGCTTTCTTCTAAACAAACTTAATTTCTTCATTCTAATCTCGAGACACGGCTCCTCTACTGTTCTCACGTGATAGTGGAACTAAATTGCATCAATATTTGTTCGAGAAGACGATAAGGAATTATAAAGTTTGTATTATATTAATTATAATATTTATTCATGATAGGAGCCGGTGTAAACATTCATGTACCTGTGCAACTGCATTCTTGTTGATGGATTGTTTCACAAACGATTTGTTATGTACATACTCAAGTAACAGCGCCATAGAATTTTAAAAAATATGAATTGCCGAGATTCATTTTATAATACAGAGTGCAAAAACTAAGAATATTTTTATGTTTGAATATTTTATCAATATAGATTTTTTTAGATGGTACATACTTTTTTTGTATATAAATGAAAATATTTGGGTCAACTGATTTTTAATCAAATAAAATTAAAATTTTATTTGTTAATGTAATTAAAATATACATCTACAACAATTTAAATGATGAAAAAATATTTTGGAGAGGCCACCATCAAGATGACGTTTTTGACCACATGGTGGCAAAGTTTTGTACAGAATTAGAATTTTGATGCCATTGAAAAGCTTCAAATGGCTTATTATTTTTTGTTTATTTTTTACGATCATATTTTTATTTTTCCAAACTTATCATTGACGTAATATACTTGGATTTTCGTCTACTTCAATCAAACTTTCTCTTGATGACAATTCCTTCCTTATGTAGATTGTAGACTTGAACAACTGCGCTTAAAGAGTAAATAAAGAAAATAAATAAATATATAATAAATAAATTGAAAAACATAGATTGACTTTTTCTTCAATTCGCCCATTAACCCAAAGCATTCACTTACTTAGTTAGGGTCCAGCAGACCCCAGCGGTGTTTAAACACTCGGCGTAGGCAGACTATCGGTTCGATTTAAAGAAAAACGAATATAAAAAAATAAACGAATATAAAATTTGAACTATCTACACTGCGGCAACATACATTTTTAAAGGCAAAATAAATTTGAAAGCCTGTAAAATTGGGCCGGAAAATCTGCTGAAAAATGGTCGCTAACTGTGGCGTTGGGGTCCAGTAGACCCTATGCGTACGAGAAAGGTTAATCCAATTTTTTCCCGTATTTCGACTGATACCAAATATCCTCCCGATGATGATTCGCGCCTCGTTTCTTGGCTAGTTTATTCTTCGATCATTTTGCGTCTGCTCGTCTGTTTCTTTCCTTTTTATAATGGATGCTGTATGAACACGAGTTAAACGCTGTGTATACGCAACATAAACACATCTATACCGTACTGAAGTCGTAAAGGTGTACCAGAGGTCGTAAACTAAAGAACCGATGAGTTTGCCGTTAACAATAATGAAGATGTTAAAATCCTATAAAGCTTCTTGTATATTTTTTGTGTTCCAAGTTTTCCACTCATATCAATATTTATGTCGAATTATGTTATTGCAATCAAATATATTCGAATTGTCTATCAAGTTCACATGGACATAATAAATATACGTTATATATTGCCAATTAAACTTTGCCAGACTCAAATCCATTAATTGCCAAATTCTCTAGAATCATCTTTAGTTGATTCAAATTTTGTGTGCCATATTTTATTTTCAATAGCAATCAGAATACAGTACAATCCTATGAGGTATTTGGCTTATATCATTCATTTACACATTCATACACACACACTTTCAAATAATTATTGTGATAAATTTTACTATATTAATAGTTAGAGAATCACTCCAATGAGTGATTCGCCAATTGTGTTCATTTCTACAAAGATGTGGTAGTGCTAAGGTCTTCAATATCATTTTTGGGAAGCTTCTTTTTCAGTCTTCTTGAAATTGATGTCTCAAGAAATTGAGTGACTATTGAATTTGAATAATGTTTCAGTTTTTGAAAATGTTGAACACTGTTAATTTTTATAACTGTTTATAAATTCTATATTCAGATCGTCGTATGAAGTTTTATTGCTTGTGAACCATTAGTAGTCTCAAAATTTTAGACTGGGCACGGTGCAAATACAATGTTTGATTTGCTCGCACAGCCCCACAGTTGGATGCCATAAGTCCAAATGGTCTGAAACAGAAAAAAGTAATAATTTAACTTTTGTAATTAAATTAGTAATTTGCTTTAATCACATTGCTTATTTTAAATTAGATGTCAAATCATCCAGTTCACAATTCCAATGTGTATTATTTGCATAGGGCGAGTTTTTTTTAATTCCTGGTGCGACGTCCAGGATTTTAGGTCTGGTCACTTTCTTCTTCTCTCAAATTCCGTATCAGTTTCCATTAATCCTTTTAGATTAAATTGGTGAAAGTAAGTATCTGTGTGTTATCTGCTGAAATGAATGAAAACATGACCTTCCCGACGTGAAGCATGCGGGTTGCGTGTCGGCCGGCCGGTCGGGTCATTAAAAGCTGGGCGGCTCTGCCACACCTAAACATTAACCTGCAGGAGGGAGCTAGACACTATAAAAGGCGTTCTCTATTGTTTAACAACCACCTGCTCCTTCGGAACCCACCCCGAAGAAGGAACCCCACGAGTTTCGTGAGAATCGCAATGTGCAGATACAAATATATTTTTCGGTTTTCACAAGCACACGATGTTCATTAGCTAATCATTTCAGGGGGCTGGGAGGGCTTTTTGTGACATTTTTAATATCATACACTAATACTAATGTACCTCGTCTTGTATCTTCTATTTAATGATTAATAGATATAGAATTATTATGTAGTTCAAATCATTAGTAACTATGTACTCATGTTTTGTAATTTTAGCATAAAATTCACTTATTTGGTGTATCTAATGTGTATTTTCTTTTTTTCCAGATGCCATGGGTAAGTGGACTTCAGATTTAATTAAACTTAAGTTGGTTCTGTCAAATTGAAGGTGTAGGGTAAGTTTTTACTTTTAACTTACGTGGTCACTCATAATAACATTTAAGTTATTCAACGTAAGAAAGACACTTCTTCTTGTTTAGGAAAAACGAATTCGTAATAAGATATGAATATTAGAGGTTGTGAAAACACGAGTGCAAAACTCAAAATAAAATTCGATTCTAGTATATATATATTTTTTATATATAAAATTATCTGTTTGAAATTGTATGTGGCACATGTGCATGCATATGTGAAAACATGTGTATATGCTAGTCTGCAAAAGTTCTTATGTGGATATGTTCATAAGTCTATGTTCTCAAAAGTACTCATGAGCTTATTTGCGACAATTAAATTAAAAATCAAAAAATAATATGATATTTGCTATTGGTTTTACTCAAGATCACTTAAAAATATTTGTTATACGAGTAATCTTCTATGTGCGAGAAAGATACATTTGAACTGAATGTGAGCGAAATGCGCTACCCGTTTTTGGTTTTTACTTTTTTCTCGATTTTTTTTTATTATGAAGCTATCAAGTATTTTACCATTTTACAATCCTGATTAAATGAAACTTTTGATGGTATTGGCCAACATACTTCAGTAATTTTTTAAAAGAGTTTTATTTTTTGTGTTATGTACTTCTGTGATTTATGCATAAATGTGCATGTGCTCATGTTCTTACGTGCATAAATGTGCGTATATACATATGTGTTTATGTGCATAAATGCTTTTTTGTGTCTTTGCGCATTTTTGACCATAGGACAACATATCTAATAGGAACACGTTTTGCACAAAAATCTCAATTACATTTTAGTCATTCCGTGTAGTTCTTACTACATTTTTCTCTTAACTTTGTACAAAAGCAATATATACCTTCATAATTAAAGCAAGGCGTAGCTTCCTCGGCGCATAACATTTTTGTTCCTTTTATAATAATCGCACTGAAACAGATGAACAAAAAAATAACATGAAATAAAACGAAAAGGAGAACAAAAACATAATAACACGAAGATACGCGAAAGCCACGTCAAAATAGAATGCGTCCAAGTTGCCGAGACGAAGCGTTCGTCAACAAGTCAATTCTGCATCGGTGAAATAACATTGCACCACATTTAGCATATCGATAAAAAATATTTTTATCTCGTTACAAAACAATGCAACAAATTTTATCACAATAGTAAGCGTGAATAAAATACCCGTAATTAAATAACTTAACTTTTTTGTCTGAAAAGGTCAACATAAATAGTAGATACCAGTGTCAAAAAACAAAAAAAAAATTTTAAAAAACTTTAAAAATGCATAATTCGTTATAGATTATAAATTTTAATTAATTATTAGTTTCAAACCTATAGTTTGATCTGCAAATGTTAAAACTTCAATCGACTTATACTTGTAATTTTTTTAAATAAATCAGTGAATTCATAAAATGTATTTGTACAAAAGATACAGATACTAGATTTGTAAAACTAGATACAGATTTTTTTAACCCTTTCGCTATAATTGTGTTTTCCGCTGAAGTGCCGCTGCTGTACGGAATAGGGTGTCCGCTACTGAACGTACCAGGCACAATGATATATATTTTAGATATTTCTATCATAATCAATAAAAATGTGTTGAAAGTTAAAAAATATGCTTCTAATGAACTAGAAATTACAATAAAAGACTAGAATTCTCTATAGTCCAACTCACAGTGATAAATCTTGAAGCAAACGCACACCTGTCCATGCACGACATCCGTACACACAACACGTCATTTGGATGTCGTCCATGGACGACATTTGTAGCGAGAGGGTTAACAGCAATCAGAACTTAAGAGTCCCATAAGCTGTTGGTATGATTTTACTTAATACTAGTGGGTTCTACGGGTGGCAATCCTAATAGTTGTCCCATCTCTGTGTGATGAATTATTATTGCTATTTCTGTGATAGGGCGCATATTTATTGATGCAGCAATGCCAGATTAAGACTATTTTCACTTGGAAACATATTGCTATCTATATCGATATTAAACCTGGTTGAAAACAGGCTGCTCGAAGCGGGTTCGAACCCGAGTCCTCTGATTCACTTAATATGTCCATGTATTCGACTTCAATATTTATGCTCATTTAGTATTGATTAATAATCTGTAACAATTTTTTGAAACGAATAATGTTTTTAAAATGTTTTTTCTACCATTCTTATAAACCCAGATGTTGGTGTATAATATTAGTGTTAACATAAAATAAAAAATTCTTCTTTGGCATGTGCCTACCTCATGATATTCCGAACACTATAAAATATCAAGCTATCGGTCGTTAAGCTTCATCTTAATTAAAATCCCTTTTTAAATCAATCTATCAACAGTGTATTGGATATCGCCTTCCAGTCACCTCCCATCTTTTAGCCAAAATATTTTTATGGCCAAAAAAGATTAAAACAAGTACATAATTAATAATTATATATAATAATATTACGATTAGCCACATTACGTTGAGTGGAAGCCGCTACTTGTAATAACACGGTGCATGAGGTATTATACAGGACGATGGGTACGTCTTGGAAAAAAAACTGATCGACAGATTGTGAAAAAGCTATATTCAAGGTAATAATGGCAAATGGGACACACCCACATGTGTTAATGTGGGATATGCATACGAATTTATGCACCGTTCTTAATATCACATTTTGAAAATTCATTTTTGTCTATCTTGCAATAAGTTTCACATAATTACACTAATATTGATCTATCGAATCAAAACAATTCCTATTATCCGACAAATTTCTACGACGGAGATATCATTAACTTAATGTTTTGAGATCAAAGTTGATCGTTCTGAGAATCTTGAAATCACTCGTTTCCGATGGACGTCATGTAGGGGCGGAATCAATTTGATATCAACACACAAATGATATTTTTATCCTCTGTCATATCCTTGTAATATGGAATATAAACCCCTAAGAACAAACAGAGATGTTTTTCAGAGTGAAAGTGTTCTGTCAATCGTACATGTTCGGATCAAGAAATGATTTAATACAGTTTCATTTAAATTATAACTATATTGATTGGATTTGATTGTTTTTTATTTTTATTTGTCAAAAAAGAAATATTGATAAAATAGTAGGAACGTTATGAAAGGAGGAGAGGAGCCATGGTGAAATTATACTGTTTTATGAAAAAATAGATTTAATTATAGTTTTATTAGATTTTTTATTTATATGCCAGAAAAATAACCAAAATGACACAAAATTCTCACTTTTATATGGTAAAATATTAGAATTTTAGAAGAGAATCTTATTTCCACTAGTTAAATATTAACCATCTATGGGCCAAATTTTTGTTTCACATAAAAAATAGTGTACATATTTAGAAAATAGTAATTATAAGGCTTGAGATTAAAATGAAAGACAAAAAATGTTTCAATGTTCAAACTTTTTTTTGGTTCTAACTAATTAGGTGTATCTTTCAAGACACAGTGGACTATAATGTGAATTTTGCATATGAAAGCCTAACAAAAGTCATAAATATTGATATCGTTTTTCTTGACAACGTTATAGAATTAAAATTTATGCGTCATCTCACAAAAATAGTCATAATTATTTGGTAAAAATTAAATTTACCACATGCTGACTATTTATCCATGTGAGTCATATTACTTCCCTGATTTTTTTCCTTTCTCTGTGAGGCAAACAAATATCACAAATCACTTGTTTCTCGGACATGGAATTCTTGCTCCTATTTTTTTCTGCTATTTCTACGGTTTTTGATTCCGTTTTCGTTCGGCGCCCTCTCTTCCGCACGCAAACGCCAAGGAGTGGGTAATGTACTGCAATATCGCCTGACCCTTATATATGCCTCGAAAACGTGACATTACCTACAATGAGGTCTTCGACTTCACCTATAATTCCTAATTTTACCTATTATGATATATTGATTTAGGGAATAGAGATGTTGGTGGAATTTTGGTAGATATGGGATCGTGGTGAACTTATTAGCAATATAAACTTTGGTATTTGATGTTGACTGATAATAATTGGTGATTATCATCTTGTAGTAAGTGGATTATAAATTTGAAGTTTTATTTATGCTGCTTTTTCTTAATTTTTCAATAACTTCCTTGAAAATATTTCTCGAATTTATCATTTTAATTTCATTGTGTTATATTTGTAGGCTACAGTGATAGTTGCATAATTAGTTGATTAGGTTGTTGATTAGTAACAGGAATATAAGTGCCAATTCTCAAATAAATTAAATGTCATGTTACGGGTCTATGATCGTATGAATTGGTAATCACAGGCTGTCAAAAAGCTACATAATTGCTGATCGATTGAGCATTTTGCACATAAAACCTAACCTCCAAAAGGCACTAACATCAAATTAATAGCGACTTCACGTAAGTGTTATCAAATTGACAACAAAAAGTTGCGCTTTCTATTTAACATTTGTTTTTTGGAGGTTAGGTTTTAGAAGTAAATCCAGACTGAAACTATTGATCGCACAGCAAAAATATGGCTTTTTGACTATAAACTCATACAATCATTGACCCTTAACATAACATTTCTATTTCATCCGAGATTCGGCCCCTATAAAATTTTATATCTGATACCATAGTTTTACTTATTGCAGTATAATTGTTAGTGGCATACATTTTCGGTAAATTGACATCATCAACTTACATCTATTTACAAATTGACATCATCAACTGATGGTTACTTACCGTAATTGGATTATATTTATGCAATTTGATATCTTAGGCTATGTCATTCCTTTATTTAATATATGTTACTAATTTTATTTATTTAAAATATTTGATTTGACCAAAAACTACGTTGGTAAATAGAACAAATAACTATAGTTATTATTGGTAATCGTATAACGGAAAACCGAAGTTTAAACAAAAATTCTTGAATTGTGTTTCATAATTTTTTTTTATGGGAGATGTATGTAAAAATTTACTGACCATTTATTGTTGTTCTAAATTA